GAAATGAAATGAAATGAAATTAATTTATTGAACCAAGTTATGTCAACAGATTCCACTAAATTGTGTTTGTTTTTAATTAAATGAAATAAATTACAAAAAAAATCAAGTTGAGTAACTTTAAAGTAATTTACTCAACAGGGTTCAGTGGAACCAATTAGGTTAAGTAAAGTGTGTGTTTGTGTAAAAGTACTTTTTAAAAGATTTTTGTGAGCAGCTTTATGACTTTTACTGAAGTACTTTTCTTATCAGTGAAATACATTTTAACCAAAGTTATGTAAAATATGTTACAATATTTTTACTTTGTTATTTCTTTCAAGTACTTCTTATCTGGAACACATGAAAAGATCAGCAGATGGAAATAGTTGAAGGTAGAGGGAAGATGGTAACGTAAAAAATGATGATAACAGGAAGACAGAAGTAAGAGAGAGACTGGGGAAGAAGATATGAAGGAGATTACAGGAGGACAAAGGGGAGAGAAGGAAAGACACACACAGCGTGAGAGCAGGACGACTGGGTCAGGACAAGGTCAGGACAAGGTCAGGACAAGGTCAGGACAAAAAGTGCAAAGTGTGGAGTTGTGTGAAAACGGGACAAAACAAAGAGACACAAGTTGAGGACTGGGGGAAGACTGAGGGAGGACTAACAGGTGTCTTACTATGGACGCTAGTCTTACGGTCTATGGAGTCTGCAAACACCTCTCCGTAGATCATCCAGTACGGCATGTAGAAGATGTTCCGAGCTAGTCGCCAGGTGGGCTCCTCGTCTGGGTGGAGGATGGCCTGCCGAGCTACGCCAAAGCTCATCAACACGACCAACATGATGACCACGAAGTACAACATGTCAATCATCTGGAGACACCAAGGGGACACGAGGCGTTCAACTCTGACTGAGACTCAGAACAACCTGTCTTTTTTAAAAGTTAGTACAGATGAACGTCCAGGGGTCGGATTTATAAAACTGGCGTAAGCACAATTTGAGCCCAGAAACTTGCGTACACCACTTTTTACACCAAGGTTGTTTTACACCAAGCTCTGACCCATGTGTACAGTCATTTTGGAGACGTGAAACTGTGACACAGATGGTGAAGTGAAGAATTAGAYCCACACTGTGTAATGATCACTGTCAGAGATTTAAATTACCTTCATCAGACTTAGATTTTTATTCAACTTTATCATCAGATTTATTAACAGGAATATTTATGTTTCTGCTGCTGCTGCTGCTGCGCAACTCCCTTCATCTGCTTCCTCCTCAGACGACCCTGACCCACAGACCCCTCCTCCCTGACCCACAGACCCCTCCCTGACCCACAGACCTCTCCCTGACCCACAGACCTCTCCCTGACCCACACAGACCCCTCCCTGACCCACAGACCCCTCCCTGACCCACAGAACCCTCCCTGACCCACAGACCCCTCCCTGACCCACAGACCTCTCCCTGACCCACAGACCTCTCCCTGACCCACAGACCCCTCCCCGACAAGAACAGCAGGACAGCAAAAGTCACACTTTGGATACACGAGCAGGGCGCATCCACCTCACCAGTGTGGATGTTATAAACCTTCACGTTTAAAGTCCGTATCTGTCACGCGCGGGGGTGTCTGCCGCGGATAACCGAGCAGGCAGGAGGAGAAGAGGAGAAGAGCGGTGGACTTATTTCTAATTTTATCTGACTTATTTAATTTTATTTTTATTGTTTTTATCGTCCTGCAGGCTCTGAGGGAAAATTATTTTGAAGCTGAGTTTTTTAAATAAAAATGGTTAGATTACTCTAATGCAAAATGAGGGAAAATCTGTGTCAGTTACAGACATTGTGTTCAGGTGAGCAGCTGTCAGTCAGCACCTGTCTGAACCAATCACTGATCAGCTGACTGATTTAAATACATCTTAACATTCATGAGGTACTTTACATTGACTGTTTATGGTTGAGTGTGGGCATGTAGAGGGTAGAACCTGAGGAGGACCTCGTGTTCAAACTCTGACGTGCGGCTGTGATTTATAAAGGAAAGATGCGCAGAAAAGTGCATACGCACTGTTTTATAAATCTGAATWTTTTTTGGCATACGCCATTTCTGCCTTTTGGCCGCACGTTCTCTTTTAGTATGGTTTCCACACAATCCTTTATAAATGAGACCCCAGGTGTTTTTGTTGAACTGTGATTCGATTTAATTCCTTTTAAAACCTGGTTAAGCTTAGATTCATTTTATTACATCCTGATCTGTAAACCTCTAGAACTGAAAGAAAAACTTCTGACTGAATGCTGTATTTTACCATCTTCCCAATCATCATGACGTAGGGGCCCAGGTACTTGTTGACTCCAAAGATGTCCAGGACTCTGATGTACCAGAAAATGATGTCGACGCAGTAGATTACGCGTCCGTAACCCATGTAGGGCTCGTTCTGGAGCCGCAGCAAGAGGCCCAGCAGGAAGACAGAGATGGCCACTAGATCAGTGATGTTCCAGTAATCCTCCAGCCACACACTGATCTTCTGCTTCAGCTTCCCTGGCTCCGACATAAGGATCTGACAGAAAAAAGTGAAACCAGTTTAATCAAATGGACATAAAACACAGCTGACAAAAAACACCAAAATATTCTGTTTTCATTGCTGACCAGTGAAACACATAACACTGCATTTTTGACACTTTGGCTGGGTTCTTGTTAGGGTCTTGTTTCCTATGATCTCACATTGCCCTTCATGATTGATGGAAGAGATGGTTTCAGCTTCCTCCTTCCCTCTCTCCTCTTTGCTCCTGCTCTGCATCCACGGCACCTCCTTTTCAATTCCTTTAGGATTTGTGGTAYTTGAAATGTGATTTGAGCTTTTGAGACGTTAAACAGCTGATACCGGTTATAAAAAAGCACCATGTTGCTGTGGTTATGCATCATAACAAATGCGTCCAAAAGCAAAATATGCGTTAGCAAAAACCCTTCCAGCTGCACAGCGTCTAACAGCAGAGGGAATAATCATCCAATTTTACAGCTTTGAAAGAGCTCAGAACAGTGCCCATCCAGAGAGACTGGATAATTTATTTTTTGTGTGTGGCCACAAGATAAATAACTTGTGGTCACAAGATCGTTTTGAGCAGCCATGTCTCATTGTGACATATACAGACATTGCTGGAGTCAGATTATATACAGTGTTGTTTTTCTGTTTAACTGTTCAATTGTGCCCCACACTATTTATTTATTTATTTATTTTTGGTGTATATTGAATCTAAACAGTGCATCTTTCATAGTATTTCATATTATTGTTTTGTTTTGCTTCGTTTTGTTTCTATTATTGGATTTTCTGGTTTGTAATTAATATTATTTTTCGAAAAATAGGGGAAGATATAAGATTTTTTTCTTTTTATGCTACCTTTCATCTTATTTGATTTGTATTTTTTTGTTTTATGTAAGTTTGTTTTGTTTTTTAAATGAAATAAATTGTTTTATTTTTAAATGAAATGAATAAATGAATAAAAAATATGTATATTTATGAGATCACAATGAACGCCCAAGGTGAATGTTGGGAAACTGYAGGTAAAATAACTCAGACTCCTTCCACAGCATAGTCTCGGTGTGTGAGAGGAACCAGTTTTGTGCTTCGAAAAAAGGAAATAAAGCTTTTTAGACAAATAAAACTCCAGTCGTCACCTGTGTTTTATACATATTTTATATAGGTTTTGAACTTTTACCACCCCCCCACCCCCAAGTTAAAAAAGACTTGTCATGTAAAACACAGTTTCATCAGCATAACGGCAAACATAGATTTATAAATTTAATAATTGAGAAAAACAAACCAAGTCTTATGAGAGACGATCTTTGACATTATTTATTTACCGTTATTTAACCATGCAAACCCCATTGAGATCACAGATATATTTTTGAAGGGCGGCCTGGGCCTGAAGGCAACCAATTGTACATGTTTTTGTACACGAGCTGGACGTGGATTTCATTAACATAGCAAGTATGGCTTTAACTGGTGAATAAAAACAAAATAAAATAAAAAACAAGGAGGTGTGGCTCAGGTGTGGTTAGTTTACCTGTCTGACTTTCTCAAGTCCAAGAGTGATGATGTAAGAAATGACAATCCACTCCTGCAGTGAGGGCCAGCGCTCCATCTTCACCAGGATGATGTAGTTATACAGCATGAGGTACACCAGGTAGGAGATCTGACAGACGAACACAAAGTTCACTTCACTTCCAGTCACAGATTCCCAAACTGATCACTCTCTGAAGGTTCATACAAAACCCAGAATTCTCAGAAAAATGCACATGTAGCAGCGCAAGCAGCTGCCATATTTATAACTATGAAGGAATACGCATCATGATTGTTTTGTTTGTTTTCAGAGTTAGGAAATACAAAGAACTTCAGAAAGTATAGGTGAGGAGTAACCTCKACCATGCTTCAGTGTTGAAAAAAATTAACTTCACCACTACAAACCACCAGCAGGAAAAAATGTACAKTGATAAAAATTAGAAATGAAAGAAGTTTGGATTTTGACAGCTGACCAAAGAAACACAGAAGAAGCATTAGACCACAGGAAACGCCAGCAGCTAAAACATTTTCCTTCTGCTGCACATTGGATGAGTTTCAATTGACAGCTGATAACACAAAAAAACATTAAATCTTCTTACTCTCACTTTTTGGTCAATTTATACACAAATTATGCATCAAAGTGTCTGCATTTCTGTGTTTCTCACTGCTGAAGAACATGTGTTGTTTTTAATTTCCCCAGATTGAGCACACCTTTTATTTTAGCTCAAAATGATCTTACAAACTGGAGTTACAACATATTTTTATCTTGTTACATTTTCTACATAAAACAATGTAAACACATACAACTGTTTGACCTTCTGAAGTTGATGCCAATGTTCACAGCAGACATAACATTTATTCTGGCTGATGTTATAAACCAACCCATTCTCACTCCCGAGTCGTCACATATTGACGCTTTTCCAAAGTTCCCTCTGCGTCAGATTTTGATYCATCGGGTGTCCCCCTTGCATCATTTTTTGACGAGATGGGGCGGAATCTGTTGTCATAATTTCTGAAAGTGTTGAAAATGTACACAAACTACCGTTCCACAGCCTAAAATTACCTTTATTCACTTTAGACATCCTGTCCCTGACCCTAGTACCTAAAATTAACCCTTTTCAGAAAATGTAGGAAATTCACGTCAACTACGTGTTCCAAAGCCTAAAATTACCTAATATTTGCTGAAGACATCATATCTCTGACCCCAGTACCTAAACTTAACCATTTATCCTGATCCCTCATGTTAACCTCAGACCCCCGACCCAAAGACCCCTGTTGGTGCAACCCAGAAAAGCCGCGGGCYMCAAGGACTGATGCGAGGGGGTCACCCGATGCGTCAAAATAAGAAGCAGAGGGAACCTTGGAAAAGTGTCAATATGTTGACGAGTCAGAAGTGAGAATGTGTTACACAGACAATACTCTTAAAATGAACAAAAGTGCACTTGCCGTGTTGAACCAGAATTTGGTAAAAGGAGCGTTGTAGAACTCGTAGATCTGCCTCCCAATGGGAATCTTCAGGTGCCTCTTCTGGTTTCCTTCTTCGTCTCCTTTCTTTGAATTTGGATCGGCGTTTGGGGAAACGTCCTGAAACAAAGTCTGAGCTGCTGAAGCTGCTCCCAGCTCATGACGACACCAGCAACACTGGTTCTGTTAGTTCCGTACCTTGTTTGGTTTGTCGTCATCTTTAGTCTTTTCATTGCCGCTGTGTTTGGATGAGTGGTGATGAGCTTCGTCTCTCAGTCGGAATTCCAAAAGCAAGATAGTGGGAGGAAAGATGATCCCTAAAATCACCTGCAAACAGGGTAAGATGGCTCAAGTAATAAATAACATCAAAAATAATTCCGAACTGTTCATATATTTTTTAACATGTTGGTACCTTGAGACTGTTGCTCTTGCCCATCCTCAGACAGCCCATCCACATGTCAGTCAGCAGCATCTGGCTGCAGGTGTGGGCGATGAAGTCTCTGTGTTTGGCAGCTACAGCCAACTTCAGGCAGGTGGAGTTACTCCAGTTCTTCAGCTCGTACGTCAACAGTTTCATGGCCAACTGTTCATCATGCTTGTACGACTGATCCAACAGTTCGTAGGCCAGCTGGCCAAACTCCCTGCACAGAAACACACCAGGACTCTCAGAGGGCCGTCGTCGGACATCAGTCCAGAAAACCACGTTCATGAAACTATCAGGTTTTGAAGTTTCAGAAGCACAGAGTTCATTCACGTATCAACAGACCTCAGAAGGATTACCAGGTCTGAGCAGCAACAAAACCTTTAAACACTTAATCTAAAACAGTGATTCCCAGTGTTGTGGTTGAAACCTCACTTTGGGTCACAAAACGCCAAGTGTGAGGTCTTAAAACTGCTGAAATCAAATGAACTTTAATAATATGTTTGCTTCWATTGTTTGAAAAACCTCTGAAGAGCTGACATAAAGTAAATGATGCAAACTTCATGCATTTATCACTTTTAAACTGGACTATTGTACTGCTTTATTTTCTGGGTGACTGCAGGTTTACTTGTGGTTCCTGGAGTTTCTAAAAGTAGAATGGGAYGCAGAGCTTTGAGTTCTCAAGCTCCTCTCTTGTGGAACCAACTTCCAGTTTCTGTCCGTGAGGCTGACACTCTGTCTACTTGTAAACCCAGACTTAGGACTTTCCTTTTTGATAAATCRTATAGTTAGGGTCTCTCWGCCGCTCTGAAGCTAAAAGTTGAAGAACCACCGATTAAAGACAATAAACTGAACCAAAATGAAATGCTGGTTTTGGGAGCTCACTTGGAGTTGTTTTCCAGATCCTGGTAGATGTCGTCCACTAGCTCGCTCTGGGACGACTCGTGGGCCATGGCCTTATAGAGCTTACAGGCCACCAGAGCTTTGGCCATGCCCTCTTCGCCTCGCTGCCACAGGAACAGCGCCATCTTCTGGCGCTTCATCAGAACCGCCCACACCATCAGCTCATGGAAGGGATAGTGGAACCTGCTGACCTCAGGATCGTCCACATCAATGTCCTCCTCCTCTTCCTTCTTCTTGCTCTTCCTTCCCTTCCCCTTCGGTCGGGGCTCATCATCCTGCAGGAACAACAACAGAAAAACGTGAAGTGACTCTTCCTCTTACAGCAGATCGATTACAAATCCACTTCAGACAAWACCTACCTCCATACCAAGAAGCTTCAGAGCTTTGGGCTGTAAAACACAAAACAAGATCAGAGAGCAGATTACAAAACATTTGTAACAATACGTTCTTTTTAAAACCTACTTCAGATTATTCTGTTTCTTGTCTGTTTTTAGTTTTTAGCTAACACTCTGCTACTTGTGACTTCAAATGTTCATAATAAACATGAATGCATTTTTGMAAAGATAATATTGATAACTTATTCCATAAAAAACGAGATGAACAGTTGTTGAGATATTCACTTGTGAAGTAACAGGAAGTGATGTCATAGGGGAATGTCTGCATGTAAACAGAGCGTTGCTACAATGACTAAAAACAGACTGTAGAGAAGAATCTGATGTTTCTTTAGATTATTTAAAGTCTATCAGAGAGACGAAGAAGAATCAGAGTTCAAATAATGTTGTTTTTAGAAACAAAGACCAGAGAGTTCCCCTTTAATGTCACTTCCTGTTTCACTTCGGTTGAGCCAAGTTTAAAAAAAATGCAGTTATTTGACACAACATTTAGGTACAGTAGGTATTTTCTAATTTTAGCTCATATGTTGCTTTTAGTTATTGGCTTTTAGAAAACTTCTACTTTTAAGTTTTTGCCAACTTTTTCATTGTTTGGTTTAGAAGCTTTTTTCTGCAACTATTAGCCTTAAAGCGAGGTACACTTCGCTGCAGCATGCAGAACGGGGTGGTGACAGACCTTTCCGTC